ATTTAAAGTTATGAAAGGGAAGAAGCCACAACCCAGAATACTCTACCCAGCGAGAATCTTATTCAGATTTGATGGAAAAATCAAAAGCTTTCCAAGGCAAGCAAATGTTAAGAGGATTCAACACCACCAAACCAGCTCCACGCCAAATGCTAAAGGAACTTCTCTAGGTATGAAACACAAGAGAAGGAAAAGATCTACAGAAAACAAGCCCACAATAATTAAGAAAATGGTAATAGGATCACACGTATCAATGAAAGGTGAAAGTTTAAGTCGCTCAGTAGTGTCCAGTTCTTTGCAACCCCATGGACGGTAGCCCACCAGGCTCCTCTGTTCATGGAATTCTCCAGGCCAGAATACTAGAGTGGGTTGCCATGCCCTCCTCCAGGGGATCTTCCCAACCTAGGGATCGAACCTAGGTCTCCCACAGGTTGCAGGCGGATTCTTTACTGTCTGAACCACCAGGGAAGCCCATACATATCAATAATTACCTTAAATATAAGTGGATTAAATGCACAAACCAAAAGATATAGACTGGCTGGGCAGATGAAAATATGTGTATGTATGCACTTCCACTTACCACATCATTCTGCTTGATCCTCCAAATTGTATGTAATATTTTATATTGTTACATTAATCATATTCCCATTATGGCTTGCAATTATAATTATCTTTAATTTTTTGTCTGGTTATTGATTGTAAAGCTGATAAAAATTTTTTACTATTGTCATTATGGAATTATTACTCACTTAATTACCACTGTATCAGGAATGGTCAGCAGAAAAGTAATAGAATTCTATATCACCAAAATTACCATTTAATAAACAAACTAAACCTGTAATCATTTTTAAAAATCCAGATGTATATCACAATTATCTTGGAATGTTTTTGAAAAATATAAATGTCTAGGTATTGCTTTTTTTCTCCAAAGTTCCAGATATGTTTCTAATGAGCAGCCATGTTTAAAAACACTGTACAACATGATGGTTTCTTATTTTTAACTAGTTTGTCTCACTTTTTCTTTTTCATATTCAGTGCTCCCATTTCATTTAGTTTATGTTTTCCAATTTCTCCATCTCTTTTCTTTTTGATGTTCTTTCTCAAGCCTTGATCAAGCATAGTAGAAAAGCTTTTGTATACATATATATAGATAGTATATATAATATATATATTTTAGAAACATGAATTTTTGCCTAATGAAAAAATTTATGACATTTTGATTCCACATGTTTGACTTAGTGTGAATAGAATGCTAGATTTCTAATTTTAAAAAATAGATATTCAATAAGCAACAAAAGTTTACTGTATAGCACAGGGAACAATAGTCAATATGTTGTAATAACCTATAATGGAAAATAATTTTTAAAATAATGCATGTGTATATGTATAACTGAATCACTTTACGGTGCACCTGAAACATTGTAAGTCAACTATACTTCAATAAAACATATATATATATTTTTTAAAATGTTGACTGCCCAGCGAACCCAGAGACCCCCTTCCTCACTCCTGCTCTCTCTCAGCCTCCCAGGCACCAGCTGTCTGCAGGCTCTGGGCAAAACCTGGACTCAGCTCTCTTTCAAGAGTCACACAAATATACATCACCTGTAACCCCACAATCCCATACCTGAGAATGCATCCTAAGGGAATAATCCTCAAAGAATGAAAAAGCTCTTTGAACAGTTTCTGCATTTTATCTGACAGCAGGAAATGAAGGAAGCTACGAATCCAGCTCTTGAGCACTGGTAAGCGGCACAGCCCTCTGCAGAGCTGATTGGGAAGATCGTTGCAACGTGCGAAGGCCGTGTTGATCGCAAAATTGCACTGGGCAGGAGACTGGCTGTGAAACGTTGTTTTATGCGCCTGGAGAGGGCTGGAGAGGAACTGGGGGAGAAAGAAAACCGAAATGCCCACTTACTAGGTTTGGGATTGTGGATGATTCTTTTTCTGACTTCTAGTACTGTTGTAATATTGTTTGTGCCAAAAATCTGAGTACGTAATAATAGTGCTTATTATTAGCCTTGAGTTCAGGAAGGGCTCCTGAAGGCGCTCATTCAAAGCAGGTGTAAATGAGCACAGGTCCTCCCGCGGGCTGCCTCTGTGGCGTATTTGCATTTGAAAGAAGCTGAAGTTTCTGGCAAACAGTAGCCTTCAGGCTGGGGCGGCAGAGCTATTTTACAGGCAGGGCAAGGCCCGAAGCCCTCACCTGTAAACGAACACCCACTCTCCAGGCAGGCAGCCTTCTCTGGCAGCGTGCCCCTTTATGGGGCCACGGGGGAAGGGGAACTTACAGGCTACTCAGCCTCCGAGCTTCACCTGCTCTGCACAACAGAAAGAATAACTGTGGGGTCAGACAGGAACACCCTGACTAGGTTCAAAGCTAGCAGGAGAGCTGAGCCCAGGTGGGTCTCAGCCAAGGGCAAGGGCCTCCCCCCTCCACTTTCTGGTCTTCCCCCTGAGTAGGGGAGGGGACCCAGTGCGATCTAGAGCCCCCCAGCAGCCTGGATGGGCAAGGACACTTGCAGGAATAGAACTGGAACAGAGTGCTGACCCGCGGGAGGAGGGGAGTTGGCGCCGGGCCTGAGGCTTTCTTAAAGTCTGGATGTGGACCTTTTGAAGTCTGTTCTCAGGAAAGGCCTTACTGTGTTCTCTGTCCCCACCCAGCTCAGAAGCGGTGAGAGGTGGGGGCAGAAAAGTTCCCCTGTGCTCTCCTGGGGCTTGAGGCTGGGCAGGGCGGCGCCAGACAGCTGATGAGCCCTGGGATGTACCCTGCCGCTTAAGGCCTGGACATCCAGATTTACACAAAACGTTTAGCAGAGCAAAAAGTCTTCACTTTGACAGGAAGACTTCTTTGGTTGTTTTTTTTTTAAGTGTTTAGAACTTTTAATGATGTGAAATAATGATCACAAAATATTATCTTTAAGCAAACAAGTTGAAATAAATAATACTAACATAATCCCAACTTTCTAAGTCAGCGTGTATGTCTGGTTATAAAAGAAATGTACTACCATGTGTAAAACAGCCAGTGGGAAGTTGCTCTATGGCACAGAGAGATCAGCTCTGTGATGACCCAGAGGGGAGGGATGGAGTTGGTGAGGGAGGGAAGCTCAAGAGGGAGGGGAATATGACAGGAGGATTTCAAGAGATAGTCATAACCACTGTTTACCAAGCTCTTAATACAGACTAGGTACCCAGAGCTCTATAGACATGGAATCTCACTTAATGCTCACTAAGACCCATGACTATCTGTCCCCATTTCACAGACTGGAAAGTTAAGGTAGTGACTTATACAAGGTCTCACAGCTGGGACTTAGGACTGGTCCAAAGTTTGTGCCATCAACTACTGTGCTACACTGTCTTCCTTGAGGATCAGAGGGTGCATTTCAATTTCCAGAAATGAAATATATGTATCATTTTTCCTGGAACATGTCGGCTCTGAGGTTCACCACAGCATATACCCTACAGGTACACTGAAAATATGACTTATTCACATTAGCCAACCAATCTTGAGGCTTTCACAGGATCAAGCCTCTGAGAAATGGTCCACTTACAGGAAATAGGGCGTACTTGCAGTCAGTTTCCTACATTAGAAAACAGGGATGTAGCGATCTATTAACTGTTGTAGGAACAGTGAGCTCCAAAGAGGGCAAGTTACTGCCATGAAATACAGGCTGAATCTGCATTAGATTGCCATCTGCCCTACTGGAGTTTCTTCCTCCTCAGAAGTTGTGGTACAACTATTTTTGAGGTGGTTTCTGAATAAATACTAAAAGATCTGTTTGGGTCCAGCCTGTGTCAGACCTAGCCTGCATCGCTTGTTGTGTTTGCCTTTTAAAGGTTTAAGGGCAACATCTTTTAACAAGCCAATCTGGGACTCTGCTAAAAGCAAGTGGTCACCTTTGCCCTCACTCTCAAGTAAATTTCTGCACCACAGTTGGGTTTGCGAATACTCCTGAAACCCCTGCTCAATATTTTAGCATGGGGAGGGAGCTGCTAGAGAGAGGGAGAAGATAATTGAGGGCTGTGTAAATATTTAATTTAGCCCCAAACTGGTATCCTTAATTACAGAACATTGATGTGTTTATCATAATATTCCCAAGTCTAACTAATGACAAACAGCCCTTTCTCAGGCTCACTTCAATCCCCCAGTCAGAAGACACCAGGCAAAGCCTCTTTTTACTTGCATGCTCTGTTCCCTCTATCCTCCTAGCCCTGGACCATGTTAACCTCCAACTTTCTGGTCTGTCCTCCCCAACCAGGGCCAAATGGGATGGATTAAATCTCTGCTTACAGATGGGAAAACTGAGGCTTAAAGCCTCAGGGAAGCTGACGGAGCTCAGGTCTTCTCACCCAGATCGTGAATTTTTTCTGCTCCTACCTCAGGGGCACATATTGAGGCCCCCTAGACCCCTGGGGTCCCCACATCTCCTCCCCTCTCTGAGTTCCATTCCCTGTAATGAATGACTAAATCAAGTCAGCAAATTGCACAGAGAGAAAGGGCCATGTAAGACCTAAAGCCTCACCCAGGACTGCCAGGGCTGGGGCCAGGGCCCTCTGGGTAAGTGCCAGGCAATCAGACAGTCAGCACCAGCCCGCCCCTGCAGCCCAGGCCCTGGCGGCAGCTCCCGTCTCACGCCCTCCACCCCTGCCCCCACTCACCCCTCCAGGGCCTGGAACTTCATGCCATGCTGGTTCTCTCACAACAGCCTGACAACCCGACAGCCTGGCACGGCTGGCTTTGCCAGCCCACATTGCAGATTAAATCACTAGGGAGGTGCAGAGTGGGGGGGTGGCTTGCTCAAGGCTACGCACTTGGCAAATGACTGAGTCAGGACTTGACCCCAGAGAGCATGTTCTGCAGACACCAAGCTCTCCAGATGGCCCCGTCTTTCTCTAACAGCTCTCCTTTGGATTGTGGGTCTGCTTTCCCCAGCATTTGGTGAGGGCAGCCAGCTGGGCTCCATCCTCACATCTGAGCCTCACCTGCCCAACATACACTGCACCTGTCCATTTCCAGGTGCTGCGAATCACTGTGAGGTCCCATCATCCTGGGACCAGGTCAGATGCTTTATTTGTTCTTTCTTCAGATCCTTGCTGACCATCTGCTCTGGGACAGATGGTGTGGGAGGCTGAACAATGGTACCTCAAAGATGCTCCCGTCCTGATCCCAGATCCTGCGGATATGTTACCTTGCACAGTGAAAAGGATTTTGCCGATGTGATTAAGTTAAGGATCTCAAGATGGGAAGATTGTCCTGGATTATCAGAATGGGTCCCTTATAATCGCAAGGGGTCTTACGAGAAGGAGGCAGGAGGGTCAGAGGTCAGAGGAAGAGTGTGACAGTGAAACTAGAGGTCAGAGGGAATGCAGACACAAGCCAAGGAATGTGAGCAGCCCCTGAAAGCCAGAAAAGGCAAGGAAATTTATTTTTCTCTAGAGGCTCCAGAAAAAACACATCTTTACCAACATCTTGATCTTAGCCCAGGAGACTGCTTTTGGACTTCTGATCTCCAGAACCATAAGACAATAAATCTGAGTTGTTTTAAGCCTTTGTGTTTGTGGAGATTTGTTATAGCTGCACTGTTGTTACTGTGTTTAGTCTCTCAGTTGTAGTCAGCTCTTTGCGACCCTGTAGACTGTAGCCCACCAGGCTCCTCTGTTCATGGGGATTCTCCAAGCAAGAATACTGAAGTGGGTTGCCATGCCCTCCTCCAGGGGATCTCCCCAACCCAAGGATCGAACCCAACTCTCCTGCTTGGCAGGTGGATTCTTTACCATTGAGCCACCCAGGAAGCCCTATAGTTGCATTAGGAAACTAGGATAGACAGCAAGCTAAATGAGATGTGGCCCCTTACCTCCAGGAGTCCTTTATGGGGCTGTGCAGAATCCTCTGGAGGGCTTGCTTTTGTTTGTTTGTTTTGTTTTGAGGCAGGAATAGTGACTTTATTCAGAAAGTTGGGCATCTGAGAAGATGGCAGATTGTAGATGGGTCAGACAGTAAAGAATCTGCCTGCATAGGAGGAGGCCTGGGTTTCTTCTCAGGGCTCGATCCTTTGGTTGGTAAGAACCCCTGGAGAATGGAAAGGCAACCCACTCCAGTATTCTTGCCTGGAGAATCCCATGGACAGAGGAGCCTGGTGGGCTATAGTCTACACGATGGCAAAAAGTCGGACATGACTGAGTGACTTTCACTTGCACTCAGAGTCCTAGAGTACCATCTAATCAGGGTCTGGATGCAGGTTTCTTTGATGGTACAGAGAGGCAGAGGAGGTAAGGAAGTAAAGTTGGAGGGCTTGTTAAACACAGTTCCTGGGCCCTACCCACAGAGTTTCTGATTCAGTAGGTCTGGGGTATAGTGAGAGTTTGCATTCTGACAAGCTCCCAGGAGATGCAGAAGCCACCAGTTAGGGAAACACACTTTGAGGACCTCTGGTGCACAACAGACATCCTCAAGTTTTAATGTGCATTTAGCTGTCCTGGGTACCTTGTTAACATTGCAGGTTCTGAAGTTAATTTGTTCATTTGTTTGTTGCGGTGTTTATTGTCTGAACTCTCTTTAGAATGTCAGATCTGTAAAAGCGGCCCCTCTGCCGCTGCTGTTAGACCTATGTGATAAACATCTGCTGTTAGGATGGGTGGACGAGCAAGGGTTTGGAGCTCACCAGAGCAGTTTAGGCCAGACATGGTGATGTAGGTGTCCTGGGTGCCCTTGATAATGCCACAGGGTGAATGAAACTCCAGGGGGACAGAATGAAGATCAAGAAGGAAAGGGGGTGGGAGGGGTCTGTGAGGACCCCATCATAGGAGAGGGTAGCAGGAATATCCACAGTGGAAGAGGAGTGCCTGGTGGACAGGGGACTTCTTCCTTACTGGTCTGTTGCAAAGAATCAGCTTTGCAATGCAGGTGACGTGTGTTTGATCCGTGGTCAGAGTACTAAGATCTCACGTGCCGCGGAGCATCTAAGCCCACATGCCCTGGTGCTCCAGAGCTGGCACGCCACAAGGAGAGAGTGTGTGGGCCACAACGAAAGATCCCACGTTGCAGTAACGAAGATCCCGAGTCTCACAACTAAACCAAATAAATAAATAAAACTGAAATCTCTGATCATTGTCATACTCAGAAATGAGCCCTTATTCACATTTTATGCATTTCCATCTTTATCAAATACATGTTCGTAACACACACTATTTTCTTTCAGATTGGGATATCGACTGTTTGTATGTTTAAATCCTGGTTCTTTTACTTAATACATTGTCCCATAAGTATTTCCCATGTTATTTTGAAGAGCAAAATATAATTTTTGTTTGTTTGTTTTCAAAATATAATTTTGAAGAGTGAATAAAATACCCTGGCACACGTGCTCTGTAATCTCACCATACCCTTGTTGGTGAGTTTCTAAGTTGTTGCCCTGTGGTTTTCACTGGAACCACCTTAAGGCAAACAAGGCTCAGCATCTTTCATGTGCTTATTTGCCTTATTTCTTTTCTGGCAAAGTGTCTGTTGAAATCTTTTGCCTATTTTTGGATTGGATTATTTCTTTTCCTATTGTTGAGTCCTTTATACATTCTGAGCATAAGCCCTTTGTCACAGATGTGATTTGTAAATATTTCCTCCCAGTCTGTGTTTTCATTTTCAGTGTCTTTTGTAGAGCAATGGGTTGGTTTTTTTTTTTTAACTTTAAAAAATTAATTAATTAATTTTAATTATTTTAATTTACAATATTGTGGTTTTTGCCATACATTGACATGAATCAGCCACGGGTGTACATGTGTTCCCCATCCTGAACCCCCCTCCCATCTCCCTTCCCATTGCATCCTTCTGGGTTGTCCCAGTATACTGACTTGGAGGGCCCTGTTTCATGCATCGAACTTGGACTGGTCATCTATTTCACACATGGTAATATACATGTTTCAGTGCTATTCTCTCAAATCATCCCACTCTTGCCTTCTCCCACAGAGTCCAAAAGTCTGTTCTTTATATCTGTGTCTCTTTTGCTGTCTCACGTATAGGGTCATTGTTACTGTCTTTCTAAATTCCATATATATGCGTTAATATACTGCATTGCTGTTTTTCTTTCTGACTTACTTCACTCTGTATAAGAGCAATGGGTTTTAATACTGCTGAAGTTCAATTTATCAATTCTTTTTTCTTTTAAAGATTATGCTTTTGATATCTGAGAACTCTTTACCTAACCCAAGGTGACAAATGTTTTCTCCTGTATCTTCTAAAAGTTCTATAGGTTTGCATTTTACATTTAGAACTTTTTATATGATACAGAGTATGTGAGGTCTCTCTTCTCTTTTTATCTTGTCAATATATGTCAAATTGTCTCAATCACTCATGCACTCATACAAAGCACATGAGTGTGCAACCTGGGGCTGACGTACCCCCATTTACACACAGCATGGACACAGGAAGCTGCCTTTGCACCCCACTCCCACACCAGGGAGACTGTGCTTGGCAAGAAGTGCCCTCGGCTTGTGATCAGATCTGTACTCTGTTTCCAGCCTGCCTGACTCTGGAAAAGAAGCTACACCATCTCCCTGGGCCTGGGTTTCATCATCTGAACATGGCAGTAACAATCCTGACCTCACTGGTTGTGAGGCTGTGGAGGTGTGACTTGGAAGCAGGATTCTAGACATACACACACACACTGAGGAGCTTTGTCAGACAAGAAGATGGGTCTGAGTGACAGTTTGGGGTGGAGGGACAGGGTTGGCCTGAATGGGACAGGTGTTCTTTTTTAAATCCATTTTTATGCATTTTAAAATTGAAATATAGTTAATTTACATGTTTTAGTTTCAAGTATACAGCAAAGTGATTCAGTCTCACACACAGACATATATATTCTTTTTCAGATTCTTTTCCGTTATTGGTTATTGTTCCCTGTGCTATACAGTAGGTCCTTGCTGTTTACCTTTTTTACATATAGTAGTGTGTATATGTTCGCAGAAGGGAATGGCACCCCACTCCAGTACTCTTGCCTGGAGAATCCCATGGACGGAGGAGCCTGGTAGGCTGCAGTCCATGGGGTCACTAAGAGTCAGACACGACTGAGCGACTTCACTTTCACTTTTCACTTTCATGCATTGAAGAAGGAAATGGCAGCCCACTCCAGTGTTCTTGCCTGGAGAATCCCAGGGATGGCAGAGCCTGAAGGGCTGCCACCTATGGGGTTGCACAGAGTCGGACACGACTGAAGCGACTTAGCAGCAGCAGCAGTGCCTATATGTTAATCCCAAACTCCTAATTTATCTCTCCCCTCACTCCATCCCCTTTGGTAACATAGGTTGTTTTCTATGTCTGTGAGTCTATTTCTGTTTTGTAAATAAGTTCACTTGTATCATTTTAAAAAGTCTCACATATAAGTGATGACATATCTTTGTCTTTCTCTGTCTGATTTACTTCACTTAGTTGATTATCTCTAGGTCCATCCATGTTGCTGAAAATTACAATAGTTCATTCTTTTTATGGCTGAGTGCTATTCCATTGTATGTATGTACCACATCTTCTTTATCCATTTCTCTGTTAGTGGACACTTAGGCTGGTTTCATGTCTTGGTTATTGTAAATAGTGAATCTGTGAACATTGAGGTGTATATCTCTTTTTGAATTAGAGTTTTCTCTAGATATATGTCCAGGAGTGAGATTGCTGGATCATATGGTAGTTCTATCTTCAGTTTCTATACTGTTCTCCATAGTGGCTGTACCAATTTACATTCCCATCAATCAAGTGGGACAAGAATTCTTGATAGATTTCTAGTGAGCCATATCTCAGCAAACCCTGAGAAGCAGCTACAAAAAACTGCCTGGAGTTTGCTCTTTTCTTTGTTTTTGTGCAGTGAAAAGGGCTTCCATTGCAGTCTGAGGGATTGAGGTTAACCATCAGGAAGAACTTTCCCTCTAACAGAGGAAGAAGTGAAAATGGATAACTGAGTTAATGGTGTGGGGAGTAGCGTGGGTCTTTCCTGATTGCACCTGTCAAGACTTCCTTCCCTGTAGGATCCAGCTGGGCCTCTTCATGTTTGGGTCTTGCTCTGATGC